GGATTTAACGAGAGAGTTTTGGATATTTGCTTCTCTTCAAATAAGAAATAAACTATTCTTAAAATAATAGTTTCAAGTTTGAAGGTCAGCTTGTTCTTTTTTTTTATAAAATATTAAATAGCAAAATCAAAAATGTTCTTTCTCTTCTGATATGAGGAGACACTATTTGAATTGACACCTCACACACTCTGGGTTTAAGAAGTTAGCATTATCTGAGAAGTCGCTATTTTTAGGCCCACTGTAATGTTTCTAAGTTTGGCGCTCAGAGTAGTGGGTGCTTCTTTTCCCATAAGGCTCTGTATTCTCACCAGGTGCAGGTCAATTTGACATAAAGCTACCTACGAGGAGCAACAGGCCCATTACAGGCGTATTTCTAACTTGAAAATTATGAGCAGGAATTGGGATCCACAGGCTGTATTTGGGAACCAGCTGCATGTCAGTACAAGCATGGATTGTGGTCTCTGGAGGCTGGGAGAGCACAATGCTTGAGCTTAATTTCTTTGGAAGATAAGAAGAAAAAAATACCTTTCTACCTGACAAGATTGACAGCGTATTAAATCTGATTATCTTCAGAAGTGTGCTGGACAGTTGCTAAGTAAACATCCACTTTTCAAAGATGATGATCAAGGAAACATCTCTACGAAGGGACCCGGATTTAAGGGGAGAGTTAGCTTTTCTGGCAAGGGGCTGTGATTTTGTTCTCCCGTCACGTTTTAAGAAGCGGCTAAAGGCATTTCAGCAGACACAGGTTTGAAATTTGGGTGTTTCTTTTAAAATATTTTCATTACTAATAAAACCACCCAATGAACTAACTTACAAATAATTTTACAGCTCACTTGTTATTAGATCAAGGAATTAATCTGTGTCCTCTATTCAGCTATTTACAGAAAGCTATTTGTACAGAGATTCCAACAGGTTTAAAAATAGACCTTCTGGACCTGAGTACAGTACTCACATTTTTCTCGGTAGAGGGAATCCAGTTTTAGAGACAATAAATACAACTTAACACGTATTTTACAATTTAGGTGGGAGGGGGGAAATTTTCTGTGTTAAAAGTCCTGTTTGTACTTTGAATCAACAGACTATGTTTGAATTAACATACATCTGTAATGAATTTTTTTAAGTATAGATCCTGTTAATCCTTTTCTTCTTTGAAGGAAGAACTAGTTTTATATTTAGACAATTGTGTGTATGAAATTTTCCCTTTTAAATATTAACATCACTTTTATTAAAGTGTAATAAAGGGTGGCAATTAACTTCTGGGTGGTGAAAGAATGTCCTCCCTCAGCAAGCTGTGAGATTGAATCATTTCTGCCCGCAATGACTACTTTGCCGAGCCCTTGCTAACTGGCTTACACTGGTAAGGCCAGTACCTCCCCAAACAAGTACCTAATACTGACTATAATACAAATCAAGGGCTATACAAATGATGACCATCCAGAACCCAGCAACAAGCCATAGTTTCATAATTATTCTGACCCAGAGTAATTTCAAATTATTTGATTGGACCATATTATTTGATTGGAAGGTATTTTTTAATAGCTTAAAAATGATCAAATATTGGAAATGCTACAGTGGTATAATAGTATAAGGATACTATTCAGAAGGAATCTCTAAATGATACTGTGTTTATAAAGGGAAAGACTGAAATGGAGTATGAGATACTTTTACCCAGCTCACTCTGTTTTAGTGCTGTTCCTAGATTTGAGTGAAACAGTTTTATTCTAAGTGAACAAATGCTAAACTTGCTGGTAAATCTGGCAAAATTTATATTACTGTGTATTGTTTTATAGTGCTTGTAAAGTCAGTTTTATTAAACTACATTAAAGTTTAAATTCAATGGAAAGTAAATTGATAACAACCAAAAGTTCACAATATGCATTCTTTAAATTTTCCCTTTTAAATATTAACATCACTATTATTAAATGTGTATCAACCAATGAATTAATAAATAGTTGGCTATCAGTGAATTGCTCTGTGTTAGGAGATACACTTAAGGAAAGTAAAACAGACTATTATATAATCAAATATTTCCATTCAAATAAAAACTTTGACAGATAGCCAGGGTTTGTTCTGAATGTCACTTATTTCTGTCAGAGCAAAAGTACAAAGTCAACATTAAAGGCTTTCCTTTAAACCTTCCCCACTAGCATGTGTTCATTAGACTATTGGGTTTCATCCTCACTGGCACCAGTGGTCTTAATCCTACAGTCATAACTGTTCTGGATGTCACACTTGGGAAACATTTTGGGGAAACAAATAATTTTGATGATTTGTGTGCTTGCCTCACAAATCTTTTTTAGCATAGAATAATAGAAAGGAAATAACACTAATATAAATAACCTAGGTAAAGACCTGAAGAATTATATGCCTTATTTTAGAAGTTTAAGAACAATTTTTATCATTGACTCAAGACTATATAATATTTGCAGATTTAGCACTAAGTTAGAAATGTTTAGTACTTAGAATAGATTATCAGTTTGTTAAATCAAAAGTGGTTTGTAAACTAAATTCTTTATAAATGTGATTATTTTATTTATTATTGAATCTGCAGAACCATGCCAGGTTATGTTTAATCTTTTAAGATTACCACCCTTAAGCTTAAATAAGGACATATCATACCCAGCACTCTTTTGAACCTTTTACCTGTGTAATTTCCTTGCTTTTTACTCCTGTAATTTCCTTTAATCCTCACAATAACCTCCTAAGAAGTAAGGATTTTAATCTGTTTTATTGCTGAAATTCCTAGTAAGCCATCACTGTTTTCTGTTAAGTTTTTCAGCTTTACTTGGTACCACTTCCCTCATGCAATTTCTTCCTAGACCTCTACTTTCCATAGCTGACATACTGGTACTGCAGCAGCGGTGTGGTGTGACCAACTGGCCTTCATAGCCTCAGTAGTATTATAATATATGAGTAGACTTCACTCTTTGAATTAATGTCAGTTATTAACATGAGAAATGGGTCATGTATAACAAAAATAGGAGATTCAATCACATTCATGTATTTATGTGAATGAATCTTCCTATAATACTCATATATTTCAAAGGTAGCAAAGATTTTTGTCCTGAATCTAAATATCATGTTATAAGCCCTATGTCAAAAGGAAATATGATAGATTTACTTACAGATAAATTATTATTCAAACTTTGCGAATGGCATTAGGATAATTTAAGGAAGAATACTCAAGCAATACTTTGGGTTCACAGTGAATTTAAAATCTAGTTGGTCAACAATCATGCCATCTTTTATACTTTATATGGCATCTAATAGTGTCATGCTCATAAGCCTTGATAGATAATTGGTCAAAGTTAAGATTAGAAATTTAAACTCTGAAAATCTTCGTGGAATCTTTTTACTTTTTCTTCTAGGACTCTCTGAACTAAATTTAGTCTTCATTGGTAAACTTCTCTAACTGAATGGATAATCTTCATCTCCCTATTACTCTCCACCCCCTCTTTATACTGCCCTTGCTGTAAATTATGTAAAGTATAAATGAGTTAATAAACAGTAAAGGAAATTTGGCTATGATAAAATGAATGACCATGATCCTTGCCTATTAGAATGTACCGAAAATGAGAGCAATTTATATCTTGGAAAAAATGGCATACCTCTAGTGGCAAGTAAATTGGCCTGATAGAAGACATTCCAAAACAAAAATGCCTTAATTTCCCAAGAAACTAGAAACACCAATCAGAAAGGATATATGCACCCCTATATTCATAGCAGCACAATCTACAATAGCCAGAATTTGGAAATAGCCTAGGTGCCCGTCAGCAGATGACTGGATCAAAAAACCATGGTATATCTACACAATGGAATACTATGCTGCCATATAAAAGAAGGAATTCTCATCATTTGCAGCAACCTGGATGGAATTGGAGAACATCATGCTGAGTGAAATAAGCCAATCAATAAAAGAGTAACACCACATGACCTCACTCATTTATGGATAATAAAGAACATTATAAACTGATGAACCAAAAGATAGATATAGAGACAGTAAAGCAACAAGCAGACTGTCAAATTACAGCAGGGAGGGGAGGGAGATCTGGGGGAGATAATAGATCAACCGAAGGACTTGTATACATGCATATAAGTACAACCAAACTCTGGGGAGGGAGAGTATGTATGGGAGGGAGGGAGAGAGGGGGTAAAAAACATCAATAAAATATATTAAAAAAGAAATAAAAAAAGAAAAGAAAAAAAATGCCTTAATTTTCTTAACAAAGACGTTATCTGCATCAGGGCTGGCAGTGATTCCACCGAGACAAATTTAAATTAGAAAAGAAAGTGAAAGGACACTTCCTCCAATAGACTTTAGATCTACATCATTAAAAATTTATTCTGTCTGCCTATTGAAGGAGAGAGAAATGCACAGAAAGACCAAGAACAGTCTTCAAAAAGAATTTACTGATCCAGTCCTAACAGACTAAAAATACATCTTGAGATTCCTAATATGTCAGCTGACATTGCTCTTAAATGTCTGCCATAGCCTGGCTGACATGGCTCAACTTATAAATCAGGAGGTCATGGTTCGATTCCCGGTCAGGGCATATACCCAGGTTGTGGGCTCTATCGCAGTGTGGAGTGTACAGGAGGCAGACAGTCATAGATTCTCTCTCACATCATTGATGTTTCTATCTCTCTAGCCTCCCTACCTCTCTGAAATCAATCAATCAATCAATATATATATATATATATATATATATATTTAATTTTTTTAAAGATGTCTGCCATATAATTTATGGGAAATGTAGGGTTTTTAAGCATGAATTTATATAAATTCAGGCACTGACAAATGATGATGTATTAATATATTTAGTATGGATAAGCATTCCCTAGAAACATGCTTGCTACCCTCAAAAGGAGTGAGCTCTTAATCTCTGCTGTCTCTAATTGTGACTTATTTATTCCTAACCTCTTATTACTGGTGAGAACTTTCAAGAAATATATGCTGTTTATAATTTTTGTGTCTCATATTCACATTTTCCTTCCAGATCCAAAATAAACTAGAAAAGAAACCTGGAACCCCGTTGCCACCTCCAGCCACCGTTCCAAGTACTCCCCAACCTCTCTCTCCTGTTCCTCGTGTGAGTAAGGTTGTGAACGCACCACTGTCCATAAACATTCCACAGTTCTACTTTCCTGAAGGACTCCCAGATGCCTGTAATAACCACGAACAGATTCTAAGCAGGATTGAAGCTGCTTTCATGGATATTGAAGATCAGAAAGCAGATATTTATGAAATGGGGAAAATTGCCAAGGTAATAGAACTACTAAATGATGTATATTTGCCCTTCCCTAGTAATTCCAATCTCCCTCTCTGCCTCTTTGCTCTCTGCTTTTAAGTATGCATAGGGGTTTTCTTCCCATGTTGAAAAAATGTATTTGATCCTGATATATGTTTAGCTATGATCCTATTACATGGAACTGTTAAGTTTGAAGAAAATCTTAGTGGACTTCTAGTCCAGCTTATCATTTAATATAAGAATTGCATCCATGATATCACTGACATACAAATTCATTCTCTGTTTGAATGCTTTCAGTGACAGGAAACTCACTGTTTTACCAAGCAACCTATTTCATCATTAAAAATAGCCTCACTTGTTAGATATAAGTTCCTTGTGTTGAATACAAATATTATATTTTGTTCTCACCCACTAATCATAACTCTTTGTCCTGAAGCCAGATCGGGAACAACTAGGCCAGCTCAACACAGTAATTCTACTCAGAAATAAATGGATTTTTCACTAAGCTAGTCTTTGATACTTTCCAGTATATCCAACTGCTTTTAAGATCTTAGCTCCTAATGCCAGGACTACTTTAAAATCTTTAGTAACTAGATTCTATGTGTCTAGCCTTCTCTTAGAACAGTTACTACTGAGTGTGACCATTACATTATATTTGATCATGCCATTTCCCAGCTCAGTAATATTCAGGGATTCCTAACATTCATAGCAGTGCTTTCTCTTGGTTGGGTTTTTATTTTTATTGTGCACATATGTTGGAGAGTAAGATCATGCCTGGGAATTTAGCAGTGATTTCAGGCTGTGCTTCCAGAGACAGAGGGATTTGGTAGGCTAAGAGCTGCATGTGGACAAGTAGGAGAGCAAATGGGAGCTCCCAAGACCCCATCCATACTTACACTGGGAATGATTTCCCCTGCTTTTAGGAATAATATTTAAAAGTTTGAAAACTAATATTGAGGATAAAACCCAAATTACTGTTCTGTATGTGAGTCTGAGTCTGACCCAATTGCCCTCCCACAGGCACATCTCTGCATTTGGGCTCTCAGTTCTCCCCTCCAAAATGGGCTTCCATACCTGCCAACCCCCGTGTATTGAAGGAAAGAGTATAAAGAGTATAATAAGTCAAGGATAGGTTTGTGTATGCTGGGGAGTCAGAGAAAGGACTTTGCTATTTATAGGCAGTGAGGATCAATCTGTATGTCAGGAAAACTGCCAGCCTTAAAGCTGACAGCATAGAAAAGTTTAAAAAGCTAGAAAATTATTTTGTTTAGTAACAGTCATTTTCATAACAATTTGCTCTTTATACGTAATCATCATGTGCCACAGTAGACAGTATACATACTTGGCTGATTAACTTGTCTGAAATGTACTTAATTGTAGCCCTAAATTCCACGCATAGGTGCCAAGCATTGGTGTTCATTGTTCTTAGACCTTAATTGTCGGTTGAGGTAGCAAGGTAAACTGTTCATACCTTTAAAAAGTTAAAAATCACAAGTGTATTGGTTTACATTGTTTTGTTTTTGGATTATTGTATTAGCTCATGTTACTGGATTTTGTCTATTTTTAAAGTCATTTATTTCAAAATTTCACTTAATCATGTCTTCCAGTTAGCTAATCCTCATAAAACCAGCTATTACTTGGCTGTGGCAGTCTGTTAGCACTCACTAAGCCATTCTTACTTTCAGCTATTCTTTACTGTGCTGGCCGCTCTTCTCTGCCATAGGCAGGAACTATGCACCTGCATACCTTGCACTCTTTATGTTTGTGTTTTCACAAGATGTGATCATAGAAAAGGAGAGGAAAAACAACCTTTAAGAGACATTGAGGGGCGAGGTGATTGGACAATAAATTAACATTTTTATGGATTCTTGTAGTTTATAAAGCTATTTGGAAGGCCAGCTTGAATTGCAATATACTTTTAGTGACATTTAAGTATAACTTTAGAGGCTGTGGTCTGTTTTTTTTTTTAAGTGAAAAATCTCTGTGGTATTAAGTCTGCATCTGTTGAAGTTTAGCTTATTCACCTTGGACCTCAAACAGTGCTGGAGAGATTAATGCCCATTCTGATTAAATGCTCGGTGTGTAGCGTATACTTTTTTCCATAGCTTTAAGTGATGATGGAGAAGTAAAATGTTAAAGAACATTGCAAATATTGGTGATTGTATTTTCCTGTGTGTATTTAGATAACCTTGCTTTCAGCTCTTTATTTTGTTAGGCCATTCTTAGATCAAATTATAGGTGTTATGTTTCCTTTGTTCCAATGACTTTGATTGCCACATTGACTCTTGCCTGCTCCTAAAGTTTCCTAAACCCATTTTCTGTATCTCCCTGAACACCCCCACTTGTCATCCATCCTCTTCCTTTGTAAAAAGTCTTGACCCTGGCTTGTTTTCTCCTCTGTTATAAAAGGCTGTATTCTGTTGTCCTCTTATGAATATCATTTACTTTTTAATATTTTTATTAATCTCCTGATTACCTTTATCTTCATTCTTTGTTTTTAAGCAGATGCAGGCCAACCATACTTTTTTTTTTTTTTTTTTAGTAGTCAAAGTACAATGTCTATAGTCCTTGCCATTCACTGCCCCTTCCCATTTTTTCCTTTGGCATTTTCTTCAGGGGTCTGATACCCTAACACTTGTTTACTCAGGGAACTCTACTCTGAGCAAAATAGGTCAACCCTTTTCAGTCTACTTTAAAACATCCATTCTCTACCTTATCTTTTAGGATTTTGCCTTTGGGTCATAATAAATGTTTGTTAATCTCAGTGGCTTATTACTTCTTACAAGCTGACATATAAGTATTTTAATAGGAGTCCAAGGGAATGAATATTGTAAAAAGCCGCACGGGAGGCAAATAAGCACACAGCCTTTGAAAGTGTTCAGCTGGGGCTGGTGACCACTTCTCAAGATTGAGCTAAAAGATTCCTAGTCCCTTCCAATTCTGAAAAATCCATGAATGACTAATGGTGGGAGTTTCAAGAACTTTGGCAAGTCAGTTCCAGTCTCTCTATGGACTTGCTGTTTGTGGCTCTGCACCCCCACCTTCTTAATACAGGCTATTCTTTCTGCTTCCCCAGCAGTTGCCAATAGCCTGTCACATCTGAGAGCATTTTCTTGGCAAACCACCATTTTGCATGAAAGGGAGGCTTGGGATTGGGGAAAGTGGATTTGACAGTTTACAACCCAAAATATATTAATTATGAGCTTTGGACCTTGGCAATCGTAACTTATACAATAAACAATCTATTTGGTTGCTAAGCAACTTTTCCCTCATTCTTGACCTCAGTGGAGGTATTTGAACTCTGGACTTATGAAATCTTAAATTCCCTCCTGCTTGCAGAACATGCTTTAGTGGCCTTGGCAGCAGCAGCATCTTATTTCTGCCCTGTACTTGCCTCCCTTGCTTGAATCTTACCTTCCATATCCTCCTCTCTGACATGAATCCAGCAGGCGTGGGCTTTCTCAGTGTAACCAATCACAGGCTGGGATTAGTCTTCAGTCTTATGTGGAGCTCCTCCTGTGCTAAGGCCTCACAATAGGCACAACTTCACTTAATGTGGATTCACATCTTGTCAATCTCCAATGGAGAAACTCAATGATGAAGACTCAACAGATCCTACATCTGATATGAATAATAAGAATTTCTTTAATAGCAAGAGTGCCTCTTTGAAGAGTTCCAGGTCTGGGAATATGTTTTACATGTGTACTAGGTATACCAGATAATAATGAAGATTTTTTTCAATAGATGGAGTTACACATATGTTGATATATATGCGATTTGATATGTATGCTATTTTGTTGTATTGACAGCAAACTTCAAAACTTCATATGTCAAATTTGCTGAAGGTGTTAACATCAGAGATATTTTTACATTTAAAAATGTCAAATTTTGTGCAAAAAAACCCAACATTTGTGGGAAGTTTTAATTCATTACTTTATTTTGAAGAAAAAGTTATCATACTTCGGGAAGTTTATGGTGAACATGCTCCACCTCAAGATACTTGTGAACGCTGGTTCACTTTAAAAATGATGATTTCTATGTGAAAGTCAAATAACGCCCAGGTCAACTGAAAAAGTTTGAAGACCAACCATAACAAGCAATATTGGACAAAGATGCATGTCAAACTCAAAACAGCTTGCAGAAAGATTAAATGTTGCTCAGCAAACAATTTCCGATCCTTTACAAGCAATGAGAATGATTTTAAAGGAAGAAAAATGGGTGCCACATCAATTGAACGAAAGACAAATGGAAAACCGAAAAGTCATCAGTAAAATGTTGCTTCACCGGCACAAAAGAAAGTGTTTTTTTTTGCGATGAAAAGTGGGTTTAATTTGAGAATCCCAAACACACAAAATTGTGACTGGCGATGAAAAGTGGATTTTATTTTGAGAATCCCAAATGTATAAAATCATGGGTTGATCCAAATCAACCATCAACATCAACTGCAAAGCCAAATTGCTTTGGAAAGAAGACAATGTTCTGCGTTTGGTTGGATCAGGAAAGTGTGGTATATTACGAGCTTCTAAAACGGTGGTTCTCAACCTTTCTAATGCCATCACCCTTTAATACAGTTCCTCATGTTGTCTTAAGCTCTACAGCAGCAGTTCTTAACCTGAGGGTCGATCATTGTTAAAACACAAATATTTACATTACGCTTCATAACAGTAGCAAAATTACAGTTATGAAGTAGCAAGAAAATAACTTTATGGTTGGGGGTCACCACAACTTGAGGAACTGTATTAAAGAGTCGCGGCATTAGAAAGGTTGAGAACCTCTGTTCTAAAACATTTGAAACCGTTAATACTGATCGCTACCGACAACAAATAATCAATTTGAACAACGCTTTGATTGTGAAATGATCAGACTGTGCCAGAAGACACGGCAAAGTAATTTTGCTTCATGATAACACACCATCACATACTTCAAAACCAGTTAAAGACACATTAAAAGATCTTGCTTGGAAAGTATTAACCCACACGTCATATTTACCAGACTTTGCTCCTTCAGATTATCACTTGTTCCAATCAATGGCACTTGCACTTTCTGAGCAGCACTTCAGAACGTACGAAGAAGTTGAAATTTGGGTCTCTGAATGATATGCCTCAAAACAAGAAAAGTTCTATTGGGACGGTATCCACAAATTACCTGAAAGATGGGGAAAATGTATAGTTAGCGATGGAGATTACTTTGAATAAAGCACTTTTGATGTTTCTCTTGAAATTATCATGTTTTCTTTCATTACAAAATCTGTCATTATTAACTGGTACACCTAGTATGCAAAATTGGTAACTTTTAGAGATTTAATTGAAAGAGCTTTTTATTGAGGAAGGAAAAAACTATTATCTTTTTAGGGTATTGTAATTGTATTCATTCCCAGTTCTTCTTAAGGCTTTTAAAATAATGTGATAGCTTTTATAATTTGTGGTAGCTTCTAATACATAAATAAACTGTAGCATTTTGATTTTTAACTTTTATCTTTTACCTGAATTGTAACCATTTAAATAAATTTATAGCTATTTTCTTGAGCAGTCAAGGCTTTTCTGGTTGTTCTTGAACCTGGGACTTAATATGCAAAGGAGAGAGCGGGAGACAGAACTGGGCGAATTAACACCAAATGACGGAGTAATAAAGGTGACTAGTTTTCTGCCATAGGAAGAGCATGCACAACCATGACATTTAGTCATTTCTTTTTCTTTCTAGAAGACAGAAAATATAAGATGTAACAGTGGTAGGAAGGGGAAAGACTGATTGTTTTAATGTCAGGATAGGAGAAAGAAGCATCACTATAAATGAACTTGGAGAAAAGGTGTCAATGAATTTCCATTTTCTTCATTAAACATCCCTCTATTTTGTTTCTCCTGTCTCTATCTGGAAAATGTGCCTCTGTCTCAGTTTTCCTCCCCTCAGGGCCCTTCGGTCCACCTTGGCTTGAAGAGTAAAAGCCACAAAAGCCCTCTCTTGGGCCATGTTATCTCTTCACTGCTCCTTGGCTTACACTGTGTTTGTTTTATTTGCAGGTCTGTGGCTGTCCTCTCTATTGGAAAGCTCCCATGTTCAGGGCTGCAGGGGGAGAGAAGACAGGATTTGTGTCAGCACAGTCGTTTATTGCCTTGTGGAGAAAGTAAGTATGTGAGCAGTTTCTCTGAGGCTAGGCTAAGAATTGTCTGGTCTTTGAGACATGCTCTATAAAGCACACTTATTTTATTCATTTATTAATTTTCCTTTGCCCTTTATTTCCACAAGTAAAATTTGACAATTCACAACCATTTATACCCACACACAGATCCTTTTCGCAAGCCTTTATCTTATGTCTCTAAGCAGTAAAACAGATCTTCAGAAATACCTCTGTAATAACCATTTGATAGTTTCTTAGTTTTACTTGTTAAATTTGAGCCTTAGGATTTGACTCTTGTGATGTAGAGCAAACCACATGTATCATAAGCAAATACAGCTTCCATTCTCATATGATCCAGTTTAGAACTGTGTCTAGTTGATTCATTAAAAAGACTGAATTACATAAAATGTTTATCTTTTACTTTTACTTTTTTTTATTGTTACTTTTTGAAAGCTCCGGTTAAGGAACAAACAAATAGTACATATATCAAGACACTCCTAGATTTTAACATCTTGACAAGTTTTCTTGAATTCAAACCCAACTTCTTTTTCTTTTTTTTCCTCCCTGCTTTCTTCTTTAGAAGTTATTTCTTTTTAAAAAATATATATTTTATTGATTTTTTACAGAGAGGAAGGGAGAGAGATAGAGAGCTAGAAACGTCGATGAGAGAGAAACATTGACCAGCTGCCTCTTGAACACCCCCTACTGGGGATGTGCCCGCAACCCAGGTACATGCCCTTGACCGGAATCGAACCTGGGACCTTTCAGTCCGCAGACTGACGCTCTACCACTGAGCCACACCGATTTCGGCAGAAGTTATTTCTTGACATATTTATATGTTTTATATAAGAACATGTCACAGCTGGCTCCTTCTACCTCTTTTAATTGATCAGCTTTCTTTATGTTCTTTTCACCTTTTCTGGTCTAGATACCCTTCCCTGTAAACTGTTGGGAAATGCTATTCACCTACCATCAACATCATCATTTAAAAATTCACAAATAGCCTTGGCCTGTTTGACAGCATGTGGACTAAAGGGTCTCGGTTTCAATTCCCAGTCAAGGGCACCTACCTCAGTTGCTAGCCTGGTCAGGGCACAAGCAGGAGGCTACTAACAGATGTGTTTCTCTCACATCAATGTCTGTCTGTCTGTCTCTCTCGCTCCCCCTCTCCACTCTCTCTAAAAGAGTCAATAGAGCTGATTTGGCTAGAGCATCAGCCTACGAACTGAAGGGTCCCAGATTCGATTCCGGTCAGAGGCACATGCCCAGGTTATGGGCTTGAACCCCAGTGGGGGGCATGCAGGAGGCAGCCAATCAATGATTCTTATCATTGATGTCTCTATCTCTCTCTCCCTCTCCCTCTCTGAAGTCAATAAGAAAATATACATATTTTTAAAGTCAATGGAAAATACATCCTCGGGTGAGGATTTAAAAAAAAAAAAAAAAAAAAGCCCCCAACTCAAGGTGTCATTCTCCCATCCAAGTACTAATCAGGCCCGACCCTGCTTAGCTTCCGAGATCAGACGAGATCGGGCACGTTCAGGGTGGTATGGCCGTAGACTCAAGGTGTCATTCTATGTCACTCTAGACATAAAAGGAACTGAGAGCTGAATTTTAAAAAATTAAAAATAAAATTCATGTATAATAGCAGCACAGTTCAGCTTACAGATACTTTCTAATCCCTTCATGACACCTAAAAGCCCTTAGAAGTATAATGTTTAAGAACATGTTAGGTGATTAATAAATGTATTCTTATTTTTTTAAATCCAGCAGCAAGTTGAGTTGACCAAATTCTTTGTGCATTGCTGAAGTAATCAAGGGGTATAAGACAACTGGTTCATGAACTTTTGAAAAACCATACCAAGGCTAAAAGTTACAAATGATTCATGTTTTCCAGGTGGATTTTAGTCATTTTATTACAGGGAGTAGTTCTAAATCGTTCGGATACCAAGGACTGAAAGGGCCCTAAAAGAATCATCCCTCATACACCATCAGGATGACACTCCAAAGTCAGAGTCATTATCACCATTTCAACTCTCCTATAGCAAATAGAAAACTGCTGGGTAAATCTACAACTATCTTCCCTTTTAATGTGTGGATAAGTAGTCCTAAAAGGGAATTACTTTGAGGCTAGAAATACCAAAAACAAAATACTAATTAGCCAGGAGTAAATCAGCAAGGGAATTATTCTTTGCCCTTGGAGTATTTCTGGCAGTACCTGGGGAAAGAAAACAGAGCCTAGGGTCAGAACAGTAGGGAGATTGGCTTAGATTCCCTTCCTCTTCCCCACCATTAAAACTAGGACTTCATCCCTGACCAGTTTCACTCAGCAGTTAGAAAGTTGACCTGAGAGAGAGTTAACCTGAGGATTAAGGGTCACGGGTTCAATTCCCAGTCAAGGGCAGGTAACTGGGTTACAGTTTCCCTATCCCAGCTGGGGTGCATGTGGGAAACAACCAATTAATGTGTCTCTCTCACATCACTGTTTCTCTTCCCCCTGATCCTTTTTCTCTCCTCCCACTCTCTAAGAAAATCAATGGGAAAAAATATCCTTGAGTGAAAATTAACACACGCGCACACACACAAAAAAAAGGCTAGGACTGCAGCTGGGTGCTCTGATTGTCTATTAATCACTATTATTGTTATTTTAAATCAACAAATAACAGGAGGAGAATTCAGGAACATGAAATGTAGAGGTATTCTAGCTTTCATTCAGCTAAATACTTTCATCCTGGTAGGCACCAGGCCTGAAAAGACCTCAGTTGGAGTGTGACTCAAAGGTAGAAGAAATAAAGATACTGCATAGAGATAATTTGTCAGAAGTATCTTTAGCCAATGAGTTCAGCATTGTTGACAAAAACCATCAAGCAATCTGGGAAAACAGCAAGAAGTGAATTATGATTGTTTAAGAGAAAATTTTGAGAAAGCTGGGAAATTGAAGAAGAAAAAAGTAGTCTATTCTGTAAAAGTTATAGTTCCAGAGAGAACTATAACTACTTATATTCTTTATTTTGAATATTCTCAGTCCCTATGTTTGTGAGCCTGAGGTTAACTATAGCAAAGAAAAACTAGTATCCAGCTTGATTTGCCTACAGTTAGCTGCATAATATTGAGGAAAGTAACAGCCAGTGTTTTTAAGACTGTGTCACAGAGATAGGATGGATATTTCTGTTGGTGGATAGAGCAGCAGCAGCCACAACAGATGTATTCCTTTATTGAGATGAATCATTTTAATTGTATCTCTAGGGAAAAGAGAAAGCAAAAGCGGGAAAAAGACATGAATCTTTACTTTAGGAACTGGAAGAAACTACTTATCCTCTATAATAAAAGCCTAATATGTAAATCTACCGAATGCAAAACGACTGGTTGCTATGACATGCACTGACCACCAGGGGACAGATGTTCAATGAAGGAGCTGCCCCCTGGTGGTCATTGTACTCCCACAGGGAGAGCACTGCTCAGCCAGAAGCCGGGCTCAAGGCTACCACTTCCACTTCAGGCTGGTGGTAAGGAGGGAGGGGTCCAGGACTGCGAGAGGGGTGTCTGACAGAGGGATCAGGCCTAAACCAACAGACATCCCCCAAGGAGTCTCGTGTTGCCAGAGGGCGCAGGCTGGGCTGAGGGATACCTCCCTCCTCAAGGGCACAAATCTCATGCACTGGGGCATCTGGTGAAATTATATAGAATGAGCAACTGTCCCTGCCTTTTCTCTGTTAATTCTATGAACAGATAAGTGTACTGTATGTCTATAGTAAAGTTTTATCTCCTGGCCAGATATAAAATGGTTAGAGTGCCCCCTAGTGGGAGCTCTTCTTGGAGCTCTTAAAGCCTTTTAAATGCCTAGGACTTTTAAGGGAGACCCTAAGTATGTTATTTTGGGAGATTAAGCAATTTAGCATGATGGTTTGAGTTTCCACACTGACCTTGAAAAAGACCTGTTTATTTTTGTAATTTTTTGCAAATTGTACCCTTTCCAGAAAGTATCTTAGACCAAACTGTAGTATTGTAAACTTTCAAGTACAAAAAACAACTGGCAAATAATGATATAGAATCAAAGCATAGTGACTGACATACATATATGTGTGCTGATTTCCAATGAAAGTCAAATACAAAAGTCGCAGCATAACAGACAATAATTTCCCTCTTGTCCCAATGCTTCTGGGGTGGATGGTGACTATCAGAGTATCGAATCCAAATGGAAATGTCCAGCCATTAGTTGGATGTGAGGCATTCTTGGACCTCAAAGCCTTAATATAGTCTCTCTTTCTATATCTCTATCTCTAACTCTATCTCTGTCTCTATCTCTATGTCTGTCTTAAGCCTGATCCTTCAGAGTGTAATTTCAAAAGCCACCTATCAGGTTGGCCCTGAGTATGTCTGCCAGTCTGGGAAAACGGAGGTTTCTGTCTCATGTGGTGCACAATGGCCCTTCCTGATGATGGGTAGCGCTGGAGTTCTGGTCCCAGGTGTCCTGTGCTAAGCTGAATGGATATTCTCCTGCAGTGTATTGTTATCTTTATTAGTACAATTGACTCTGTGGTCTCAGCCCAGAAGAATGCTACAAAAATAATATACCATCTTGTTGAGCTTTTATTTAGATGTTCCTTTGACAAAATCAAAAGCATGGAAGTTTCCCTTTATTTAATCATTGAAAGGAGAGCACTTGATTCTTAATCTAAATGGCTTCCAGATCAGACTGTAATCACCACCTGTTGTTATGGTCATTGTTCACCGTAGCCCACCTTCCTAAGCAGTTGTTTCTTTTATAGGTTGCTGAATAATCATCGTGATGATGCCTCTAAGTTTATATATCTTCTCGCAAAGCCCAGCTGCAACTATCTAGAACAGGAGGATTTTATCCCTTTACTTCAGGTAATTTTCATTTCCTTTTTTAAATGGGTTTTATTCTTAAGAGTTTCAGAGGCTTTTTAAAATTTTCCAACTGTAATATATGTCCAATTGAGGTATATAAATTTAGAGGTCATATTTCTAGGATAATTGGTTTAAGTAGCAAAATCCTTTTGTTAAATGAAAACACAGAACCCATAGTATAAAACAGATAAAACAGAGCTACTCCCACTGAAGCAGAAGAGAGGAGCTACTCAGTTGCGATGTTCCCTGAGCCCCAAGGGAGTGGCTAGGCCGACCAGCCATGCCTCCTCAGGGCTGCGATGTTCCCAGGGTCCCATAGTCATGGTAGGCAGGCCTCTGCCCCTCCCAGGGCCTGCAGACCCGGACCCCTCAGGTGGCGTCTGGTGCTGCCCCCCTACCCCTTCCTGGCCCGATGGCCTGGTACCTTGTGGGCAGTATCTGGCAACGACCTTCTTCACCCAGATGGACCTGAACCCCCAGGAGCTGGCCATAGCTATGCCTGGCCTGTCGCATATGCAAATTAACCTCCATCTTTGTTGTGTTAATTTGCATAGTCACTCTGATTGGCTATGGGCTTAGTGAAGGTACAGTCAATTTACATGGTTCTCTATTATTAGGTAAGATGGGCTCCCATAACTCTATTCCTCCTCTTGTCCCTTTGGTCCTGGGATGGTAACAGTATTATTCTGTTGCTCATTCTCAGTTCCTCACTATCCCTTTGTTTGTTTAACCTGCCCATGACTCTGCATATAGTCCCTTTATGAAAGGTTCATTTTAGTGAATTCTTTTCCCTGCTTGACTGAGTTTTATCAGAAGCTTTGACAGGAATATAAATTAAGCCTATACCAAGAAAATTACAACCAACAAAACTATGAGGTAGTGGACATTTTTATTTCCTTAAGTCTATGGAAAATTTTTTGCTATTGTTAATCCTCACCTGGGGATATTTTTTCCATTGATTTTTAGAGAGAGTGGAAAAGAGGGAGGGAGGGAGAGAGGAAGGGAGGGAGGAAAGGAGAGAGAGAGGAGAGAGAGAGAGAGAGAGAGAGAGAGAAAGAAACATCGATGTGGGAGAGACACATGAATCACCTGCCTCCAACAGGGGCCAGGGATCAAACCTGCAACCCAGGATGTGCCCTTCAGTGAATCCACAACTCTTCAATGCATGGGCCAATGCTCTAACCACTAAGCAACACCATCTAGGGTGGAGAATTTTTATTATTTAAGAAGTGGACTTGTGGAGTCTTCTGGTAAAAGGTGACAGAATGAATAAATACATTCTCCTTCCATTCCCCCCTTCCCCCAAACTAATCTGTAGTTAAATATATAGAAACTTAAAAGGAATAAACCTATGAAAGTGAATGGGGTGGTAGAGAAGAACAGAGGGGAGAGAAAAATCAATGTATAAGAGATTTCAGTATTTCTTAGAGATAGAAAGAAGATGCAGGTATAGGAAACCACAGCCCAGAATGAGGTGCTGTGCATGGGCTGCAGTGGAGAAGTGAGCTACTCTGCTTTAGACTGCTTGTTAGGATCCCAGAGAGGCGGTAAATTCAGGGAAATATTAGATGTGGGGATTCATTGAAGGTTGGTGTACAGAATAATTGAGAGTTGACTCCTTACCTGGTTCCCAAATATAAGGTACAGCTTGGTATGTACTTACAAATATAAACGAACTGACAAAACAAACAATAAATCATGTTAAGACAAATTCCAATGGAGGAACCTCCTAGACCAGTGGTCACCAACCTTTCAGACCTCATGGACCACCAGTGGTCTGCGGACCAACGGCTGGTGACTGCTGTTCCAAAGGTTTTCTTAAACTAGCAGTCGCCAACCTTTCAGACCGTTTGGCAACCGCTAGGCAGTATCTGACCGGTACTCCTCAAAACTGTTAAGGTCATCAAAACGAGGAAAGTCTGAGAAATTGGGTCCCAGGAGGCATGACAATTAAATGTAATATGGGATCCTGGATGGGATATTGGCACAGGAAAAATACATGAGGTGAACATTAAGGAAATGTGAATAAAGTGTAGCCTTTAATAATAGTAATAATAATGTATCAAGATTTATTAATTATAACTAATGCTAATATAAGATGTTAATTCTAGAGGAAACTGGGTACAGGGTATATGAGAACTCATATACTATCTGCTTAATTAACTGTATAAATCTAAAACTGTTCTAAAAATTAAAGTATTTTTAAAAATAATTTCTATATTTTGAGATATTATATAAAACTAGAGGCCCAGTGCACTCAGTGGGGGTGGGGTACCCTCTACAGTCCAGGAGCCCTCAGGGGATGTCCAATTGACAACTTAGGTCTGCTCCTCATCAGTCGGACATCCTTAGCACTGCCACTGAGGCAGGAGAGGTTCCCGCCACCACCGCTGCACTCACCAGACATGAGCCCACTCCCTATGGGAGCACACTGACCACCAGGGGGCAGCTCCTGCATTGAGTATCTGCCCCCTGGTGGTCAGTGCACGTCATAGCAAATAGTTGTTCTGCCCTTTGGTTGATTTACATATTAGCCTTTTATTATATAGGATAAGAATAGAATGTTATGAAAACAGAATGCTATCACACACACACACACACACACACACAAAAAGCTGTTAGAACTTTAAATATCAAAATTTAAAATTTCAGCATAAGGCCTAGGAACTGAAGTTAAGGATATCTCTGGCATGCACATGCATGCACACACACACACACAGGGAGAGAAGCAGAGAGACAGACATAGAGGACTGACTTAAGAGTTTCAACATCTAACTTACTGGAGTCTGTAAGAAAGAAGGAGAAAAATGGAGAGGAGGAACTTAACAAATTATAATACAGAATCATCAATACAGGATTGAGAGATTGGAGTGACACTATAAGTCCACAGAGCAAGTACCCAGTGGGAATTCTTGGAATTCCTGTTTTACTCCTTGGGGAAAACACAACACGCTGTGTAACAAGTGGCTGATTAAAAATAGAATGTGGCCCTCCCACACCAGCCTCTCATGCTCTCTGTAGTCACTGCCTACAGAATCAAATACAGTACACAAGTCCTTTGGTTGAAAGGAGCCACTGAATGCTAAGCACAATTAATTAAAAAAGGCAAACATAAATATGTCCTCTTGAAATTTTTTTTGTTCCATTTCTTTATTCAATCATTAGTCCCTAGCTTTTTTTAAAAAAACATACTTGTCCTCTTAAAATTTTAGAAAAACACTGATGAAGAGAAAATACTAAACGTTTCCAGAGAGAAAGAAAAAAAAAAATATCACCTTAAGAAAGGAACAAGAATTAGTGTGGTATTAGATTCTCATTGGCAAACCTGGGGAAATGGATTTGAACTCAGACTTCTATGTCCTGCCAAGCTATCAGTCAAATAAAAGATTAAAGACATTTAAAACTCTGGAAGTTGCCTGCGTATATCAGTGGTTGAGCATTAACCAATGAACCAGGAGGTCATGGTTCAATTTCTGTCAGAGCACATGTCTGAGTTTTGGGCTCGATCCCCAGTGTGGGGCATGCAGGAGGCAACCATTTAATGATTCTCTCTCATCATTAATGTTTTCATCTCCCTCTCCCTCTCCCTTTCTCTCTGAAATAAAAAAAACAACATATATATATATATATATATATATATATATATATATATATATATATTTTTTTTTTTTTTTAATTCAGGAAGTTTATCTCCTATTTTCTTAGACAGTTACAATAGTCTCTCATCTTTATTTGTGGTTTTGCTTTTCAACGTTTCAGTTAGCTGTGTTCAACCACAGTCTGAATGGAAAATTCCAGAAATAAATAATTTATAAGTTTTAAATAGCAGATCATTCTGAATAGCATGATAAAATCTTGTGCCAGTCTGTCCTGGAAATGAATCATTCCTTTGTCCAGCATATTCACATTATATATGCTACACACCACTTATTAGCCATCTCTGTCATCAGATTGACTATTGTGGTATTGCAGTGCTTGTGTTCATGGCCATTGATTTTTTTGATTTTTTTAGAGAGAGTGGAAGGGAAGGGTGAGGAGAATGAGAGAGAGACACATTGATATGAGTCACACCAATTGATCGCCTCCCCTTGTATGTGCCCCAATTGAGGCCAGGAATGGAACCTGCGACCTTTCAGTACACGGGCCAGTGCTCACGTATTTTAAAATAAATAAAGTTCGAAATTGAAAACAGATTTCTCCACACAGTTATTTTAATGGATATTAGCTAGCTGGCTAACACATCTTAACATAGACTTTAAGCTACTTGGCTACATGGCTTCCCCTCCCCCCCCAAAAAATATTTCTGTCTCTAGGTTAAGAAAGAATCAGTCTAGTTTGCTTGTTTCTGTCATCCTTTCTGTGTAAATTTCATTTAGCAATCTCTACCAAGATCTGTGGGATGAATTTCCCTGACATTCTTGATGTTAGAATTATTGTATATACTGATCTCTAAAATATTTGATTCATAAATCACCAAATATAGCTAAATTTAAATTTTAACTTTTTATTAAAATGTACTATGTATATTGAAAACACAAATAAATATACTTGTGATAAAATTTGAATATAATATATTAATTTAATTTTAAGTGTATTGTTCAATATTATAAAATAGTGAGTTTGCTCAACTGGCAACATATTTCTACAGAAAGGAAGAAAGAAACTCTGTAGGAGTTTTCTATGTTTAACTTAGTTTTGGTTTTGTTCTTTTTCAGGATGTGGTGGATACACACCCTGGCCTCACGTTCCTAAAAGATGCTCCAGAATTCCACTCCCGCTATATCACCACGGTAAGCTGATCCCCTTTGTCTTAATATAACTCTGAGTCTCATTTTTATCACTACCTACTATCCAGGCTTTAAATTTTTTATGCAAAAGGTAACATGGGCTATAATGATTATTTTAAGATCACCTTAAGGAAGAAAGGTGATCTGTTTCTTTCTTATATGTATCCAGTGCTTTATGAGATCTCTTGTATATAAAATTAAAGTAATATTCTATCTGGTCTTATGAAGTATACCTTTTGCTGTGTCATAAATATTGATACCCAGTTGCATATAATACTGAAATGAATTTTCAAGTCTTTCAAGAAAAAGATGTGTCTGTAGTACCTCAGAGTTAGAAGTGGAGTTGGTATTAAGAAATAGCCTGTGTGGCCCGGCCAGTTTGGCTCAGTGGTTGAGCATCGATCTATGAACCGGGAGGTCATTATTCGATACTGGTCAGGGCACATTTAGGGTTGTGGGCTCGTTCCCCAATGTAGGGCATGCAGGAGGCAGTCAATTAGTGATTCTCATCATTGATATTCCTATCCCTCTTCCTCTCTGAAATCAATAAAAAAATTTTTTTAAAAAAAGAAATAGCTTGCCCTAACCAGTTTGGCTTAGTGGATAAAGCATCAGCCTACAGACTGAAAGGTCCAGGTTCAATTCCGATCAAGGGCATGTACCTTGGTTGCAGGCACATCCTCAGTAGGTGGTGTGCAAGAGGCAGCTGAATTGGTTTCTCTTTCTTGGATGTTGCTAACTCTCTATCCCTCGCCCTTTCTCTCTGTAAAAAATCAATAAAGTATATTTTAAAAAATAGCATGCGTGTAATTAGAAAACAAATCATGTAAGAATTACAATAACATAATTACAATCTCCTTCTTTGTGAGGTGCTGTCTCATTCTGTTTCCACATGACACACTCCCTTACTTCATCCAGATGTGTGCTCATTTGATCAGTCTCAGGCAGGAATAGAATTATGTATGAGAGTACACAGGCATGCCAGGCATACAGCAGCCACGTCAGGCATTCTCTGTCCTAGTTCCCAAGTTATCTTCTAAGGAATTCCAAAGATGAGCCCCACGCACACTTCAAATTCATTGCCACACTCAAGTGAGATGTCCCTTGTCTCTGGCTCAGATTCCCCAGAATATAGGCCAGTCTCCTCTAAGGAAAACCCTCTCATTCTTAAGGTGCTTTTGTTTGCCATAGATTTGTTGCATTCTGTTGAGTTACAGAAAACTGCTGCGGTTTTTTCTTCCTATAGGAACTTCATTCTTGCTTTCACTATTGGTTTTCATTTGTCATAAAACTTTGCGAGACTTTAAGCCAGAAAGTGTCACTGTCATGTAAGAGTGTTTCAGAAGTTATTTTTTTCCTGTTAACCACACTATACTAAATTACCTCCACCAAAATCACCTGGGCCTAGTCACCCTTCTTTCTCACTTGTATTACTTCTAATTGAGAGAGCTCTTACACCCTCATTGCCTTACAGTCTAGTCTCCACAAAGCAAAGTTATCCTTTGAAAATGTAAATTAGATCATGTCACTCCTCTGATCAATCCCTTCACTGGTTTGCCATCTCACTCTGAGTAAAAACCAGAGTCCTTGCCAAGACTCTCCATAATTCACCCTCACATGTCCTGCCCTCTGATCTTATCTCCTACCACCCTACCTTCAGCCACAGTGGCCTCCTCAGTGTCTGGAAAATACTAACTTCTGCCTCAGGTGCTTTGTTCTTATTCTTTCCTCTGCCTGGATTGCTCTTCCTACAGATTTCCACATGACTGGCTCCCTTACTTCAGCCAGATATGTGCTCAGATATTTCTTCCTTAGGAAGGCCTTTTCTGGTTCTTCCTCTACATTCTTTGCCCTTCTTCCTCTGCTCCCTTCCCCTGTACTCTCTATTCCATTGCTCTAGTTTATTTCCTTCTTAGCTCTTTTTTGTTCACATAGAATTCACTCCTGATATTTAAATTTTTTGTTTGTTGTCCATCTCCTTCTCTGTAATATAAACTTCATGAGAACAGGGACTTCTTTATATTTTCACTGCTGTATTTCCAATAGCTAGAATAGTGCCTGGCACATCACAGATGCACAGAAAATATTTATTGAGTGAATAGTAAAATTATTCATGCTTAAGAATTCTACACATCAGAGAGAATCCAAGATGGCAGCACAGGTAAATACCTAGCCGCAGCTGCACACAACAATTTCAATAAAATACTACTAAAATATAAAATGGACATTACCCAGAACTACAGGAAAGTCGACTGACTGGAAATTCTACAACGAGAAGCAAGGAGAAAACCAGAAGGAAGCGTGGAGGAGTTGTAAAAGCCTAAGGTACGGAGACACGTGGCGTGCGCGGAGAGGACGGAGCCGGAGAGGAGGGGCGACTGAATGCCTGGCTGGCTTTCCCTAGCAGGAAGGAGATAAAAGCTCTGACTGTGCTGGGCCCCAGTTCCAACTGCTCTGAACTCCAGTTCTAGGCTAGACCCCGGGGACCCAGGCTCATCCATAGGGAGCTGGGCTGTAAGGCAGAACCCCGGGGGAGCGGCGAAAGGAGGTCCTGGCGGCACACACATTGCGCACAGAGAAGTGACAGTTGGCTTTGCCGCGGGATTGCCCTGGCGGGAAGGAGATTGGGGCTCCAGACTGCTCTGAATGCCACCTCCAATCCCACTTCCATCTGAACTGAACCCCAGTTCCGGGCTCATTGGGGGAGAGCCTAGACTGTTCGGTAGCAGGCGAAAATCAAAGGCACCTTTCTTCAGAGACGCTTGCAGCAAGTACTGAAGGACCCTGAGACTCAGGAGCCACATAGGGCTAGGCTGACGGAAGCCCAGGCTGTAGGCTCCACCTTGAAACTCCACCCCATCAGGGAAGCTGCAAAAATGCAGAAACAAAATAGATCACAAACAAAAGAAATGGAGGACAAAAAGCAACTGGATATAGAGTTTAAATCTACACTTATAAGGTTTTTCAAGAATTTCCTAGAAAAGATCGATAAGACCTATGAAGATATGAAAAGGGATCAACTAGAATTAATAAGGAATCAATGAGAAATGATAAGGGATCAACAAGAAATAAAGAATACATTGTCTGAAATAAAAAATATTATACAGAGTCCTAAAAACAGAATGGAAAATCGCAAGAATAAAGTCAAAGATTTGGAACATAAAGAGCCAGAAGACACTCTTCCGCAGAAGCAAGAAGACAAGAGAATCCAGAAAATTGAAGATAATGTAAGAAACCTCTGGGACAACTTCAAGCGAACCAACATCAGAATTATGGGGGTCCCAGAAGATGAGAGAGAGCAAGATATCGAAAACATACTGAAAGAAATAGTGACAGAAAACTTCCCCCACCTGGTGAAAGAATTAGACTTACAAGTTCAGGAAGCGCACAGAACTCTGAACAAAAGGAATCCAAAGAGGACCACACCAAGACAAATCATAATTAAAATTCCAAGAGCAAAAGACAAAGAGAGATTATTAAAAGCAGCAAGAGCAAAGCAGGTAGTTACCTATAAAGGAGCACCTACATGATTGTCAGCTGATTTCTCCACAGAAACCATGCAGGCCAGACGGGAATGGCAAGAAATATTCAAGGTGATGAATAGTAAGAACCTACAGCCAAAGAAAATCTACCCAGCAAAGCTATCATTCAGAATCGAAGGCCAGATAAAGAGCTTCACTAATAAAAAAAAAAAGCTAAAGGAGTTCATCACCATCAAACCAGAATTATATGAATTGCTGAAGGGGGTTCTTTTGGAAGAGAAAGTAAATAAAGATAAAAATTATTAACAATAAATACGTAACTATCAACAAGTAAATCTAAAAACCAAGGAAATTAAAAAAAAAATCTGATGAACAATATTAACTGTTGAATATAATAGAATCAGAGGTATGGAAGGGGAGTGAACTGATGATTCTTGGGGAATGTGGGAAGAGACTGAACATAAACTGTGCACCTATGGATGAGGACAATGAGGGATGGGGAAAGAGCAGAGGGTGGGATGGGATGGGAACCTGGTGGAGGAGAGCAATGAAGTGGGGGGCGGGGAAGGAACATTTGTAATAATATGAACAATAAAAATTTATTTGAAAAAAAAAAGAATTCTATACATCAATGGACATAAAACTCTGGGGAGGGAGAGCATGTATGGAAGTGGGCGGGGGATTGGTAAGGTATGTACACATATAATACCTTAAAAAAAAATGGGGGGAAAAGAATATATTAAAAACTTAAAAAAAAAAAAAAAAAGAATTCTACACATCAATTCTGGCTCCAATCCAAAAGAAATCATCGGGTCCTAATTGTTAAAAGTTCTATAAACTAAACTCGGGTATATTAATAGCATAGTCTGGAATCTTAAGAATTGAATAAGAATTTGAGATAATCTAGTACAACCTTCTACTAGTACAGAACATGTTCTCTATAGATGATCTTTTGTTGAAATTTGTTCTTTGAAAAGATATAAAGAACAGAATTGCAAAATAGAGATAATTTTTCTTTTTCAACACTTTTTAGTTTGGTATTTAAGTCTGATGGTCATCTAGCAAGTGGTCCCAAGGACATTTTATAATTTCAGAGTGAAAAGCCATGAAACAACTTTATTCACATAGAATTCACATTATCTGAGAAATTCTATTGTGTTGTTAACCAAAAAGAACTACATTAGTCAATCACATTTATATATTACTATTTACATCTTTAAAATGTATACTTTATTATTCATATTATGCTGCTTTATCCCAGATTCACAGAAATGAATCCATTATTTAAAGGTAGTATTAAAGTGTAAAGTACTATGATGAAATAATGACAATTATTTCAAAAAAGCATCTATATATATATATATATATATATATATATATATATATATATATAAGCCTAAGCGACTGGCCAACCATTCAACTGTCTGACCAGTAGCTATGATGTGCACTGATCACCAGGGGGCAGATGCTCAACACAGGAGCTGCCGAATTGTAGTGACTTGACAGCTGTGGTTCTCAGGT